AATAATAATAATAATAATAATAATAATAATAATAATAATAATAATAATAATAATAATAATAATAATAATAATAATAATAATAATAATAATAATCGATATAGATTTATTTTGTTTGTCAATTGTTATTAAAAAAATTGGAGAATTAATGAAAATAAATTGCAACAAATGAGAACAATTTAAATGAAAAAAAAAAAGAGAAAATGGAGAAAAAAAGCAAACGGAAAAGATAAAAAACACTTAACTCTTGAAATCTCTTGGGAAAATAAATGTAGTTGGAGAGAGATTATTGATTCCTACCTGGTCGTAGGAATTGTGTCTGATCAAATGTTTTCTTAGTTATTAAAATTTAGAGTTTTTGAGGTTAGGGTTTACATATTTAGGGGTTTAGAATTTAAGATTTAGGGTTTAGGGTTTAAGGTTTAAGATTAGGGCTTATAAGTTTAGGGTTCAGGGTTTAAGAATTAGGGTTTAAGGTTTAAGTGGGTGTTTGGTATCGTGGTCAGACCACGATATATTGCATTTTGAAATGCACCACGATCTCTGAAGGTGTTTGGCTGGTCTGTAGTGAGCACCGATCCACACTATCTCGTGGATCAGTCCACATCACAAGCCAATTTCTCATCCACAGGTTTTTATTGTGGATTGATCCATACTACTGTGGAATTTTTTACTAGGAATTATCCCATGCTTTGCATAGAATGTTTTACCCAATCTCATCCTACATTTTTTATTATGTATATTATTAGGAAATAAAATATTACTTCTTTCTTGTTATATAATATTTAATGTTATGTACATTTTTTAATTCACTATGTGTATATTTTATTACTTTTTAATTAAATATGTGTATATTTTATTAATTATTATTTTTATATAAAATTAGTACTCTTGGCAACCTAATGATTTTTTTATATAAAATTGAAGATATGCCAAATTTCATATGCATACATGCAAGATGCAATTTTATATAACTCTTTTTCATTATGCCCTCTTTTCAAAATGTTGGTGGCTCTAGCTTCTTATTTTTCCACCAAAACTAGACCTTTCATGATTGTTTCCCAAATCTCATAGTCTAGAGATATAAGGTAGATCCTCATTCTTACCTTTTTAGTAAAAATAATCAATACCATCAAAGATAAGAAGCAAGTAGATTGAGTATCCCTCAATAATGACAACACTTCCATGGGTGCCCATTCTATTTACCTAGTTGTTAAGCTAGTTCAAACTAAACCTACCCATACCACTTGTTGCCCTGGTTAGCCAAACCAAGAGGGGGTGAGTTGGGTGCTTAAAAACTTTTCCTTCTTTGTGACCTAAAGCCTTCTACAAGATTAGTGCAATAAAAATAAGTGTTAAGGTTATGTATGCTAATGAATGTAGTGCAATGAAATGCAATCAGATAAACAATGACTAACAAGAAAATAAAGATTTCAAGAAAAGTAAAGCATATAAAGAGTTTTATAGAGGTT